GAAAACCCAAATGACTCCACTCCAAAACTGCTAGAACTGATAAATTCAGTAAAGTCGCCGGACACAAAATCAATGTGCAGAAATCTGTTGCATTTCTATACACCAATAAGGAAGCAGCAGAAAGAGAAATTAAGAAAACAATCCCATTTACCGTGCACCCAAACCAGTAAGATACCCAGGACTAACCAAAGAGGTGAAAAATCTCTACTCTGAAAACTATAAAACACTGACGAAAGAAATTGAAGGTGACACAAAGAAATGAAAAGACATTCTATACTCACGGATTGGAAGAAGAAATACTGTGAAAGTGTCTGTACTGCCCAAAGCAATCTACACCTTTAATGCAATCCCTATGAAAATACCAACAACATTTTTTCACGCAGCTAGAACAAATGGTCCTAAACTTTGTATGGAACCACAAAAGACCTGGAATAGCCAAAACAATCTTGAAAAGGAAAAGCAAAGCTGGAGGCATCACAATTCTGGACTAGGAGTCATACTACCAAGTTATGGTGATGAAAACAGGATGGTACTGGCACAAACACAGACACATAGATCAGTGGAACAGAATAGAAAACCCAGAAATGAACCCACAACTGTAAGGTCAATTAGTCTTCAGCAAAGCATGAAAGAATATCCAATGGGAAAAGACAAATGGTGTTGGGGAAACTGGACAGCAGCATGCAGAGGAATGAAACTGGACCACTTTCTCATGCAAAAAAAAAAAAAAAAAAAATGAAATGGATTAAAGACCCAAATGTGAGGCCTGAAAACCAGAAGAATCCCAGAGGAGGATACAGGCAGTAACCTCTTTGACATTGGTTGTAGCAACTTCTTTCTAGATATGTCTCCTGAGGCAAGGGAAACAAAAGCAAAAATAAACTATTGGGACTTCATCAAAATAAAAAGCTTCTTCCCAGAGAAAGTCAACGGAACTAAAAGGCAGCCTATGGAATGGGAGAAGATATTTGCAAATGACATATAATTTCACTCTTATGTGGAACTTAAGAAATAAAATAAACAAGAAAAGGGAAAATTAAAAAAAAAAAAAAAGCCAAACCAAGAAACAGACTCTTAACTATAGGGAACAAACTGTTACCCGAGGGGAGGTGGGTGGGGCATGGGGAAACTGGTGCTGAGATTATGGAGGACACCTGTCGCGATGAGCACTGGGTGTCGTGTGACAATGTTGAATCACTATATTGTATTCCTGAAGCTAATTTATCATGCTGCATATTAACTAACTGGAATTTGAGTAAACACTTAAAAAATAAATAAAATGACCTTAAGTTTAAAAAGCAGACATCTGCTTTGTGTGCTGGCCGTGTTAAAACCAGTGAGATTTTCCCAAGACAGTATTACGACTAGTTAGAACTTCCCCAATACCCCACACAAATTCAACTATATTCAACTCATTGTATTTCAGTGAGATAATAAGACAAAGATGAATTGGGCAAGATTGTGCACTAAAGAATAATTATAACAGTGGAAAATTGGAGACAACAGAAATGTCTACAATTAGAGGGTTGGCTAAGTAAATTATGGTAAAACTCTATAATGAAATACCAAGAAGTCACTAAAAATGGTACTGTGATCGATATTCTTTGGCGAATGAAAAATGCTCCCAATTTACTGTTGAATGAAAATTAGTTTAGGAGACAACAGTAAGAGTAGCTAACCCTGCATGGTAGGATTCAAAGTGGTTTTTACTTAATCTAAACTCTTCCTACATATCCTTTTTTTTTCCTCCAGTAATCATTTATCATATTGGTGATCAGCAAGGATATGAAACTGGTTTTATTTAAAAAAAAAAAACAAACGCAAATGACTGATTTGAAAAATTGTTTGCAGTAATTATGACATGGGGTTAAGTCATTATTTAAAGAGCACATACATCAGGGCACCTGGGTGGCTCAGTCATTAAGCGCCTGCCTTTGGCTCAGGTCATGATCCCAGCGTCCTGGGATCAAGCTCCACATCCAGCTTCCTGCTCAGTGGGAAGCCTGATTCTCCCTCTCCCACTTCTCCTGCTTGTAATCCCTCTTTCACTGTCTCTCTTTCTCTCAAATAAATAAATAAAATCTTTAAAAAAAAAAAGAGCACATGCAAACTGCTAAGAAAAAAATGGAAGATCCTAGTAGGAGTGAGCAGAGAGCAAGAACAGGTAGCTCACATGGTAGAAAGCAGAGATCACATACAAGCGTTTGGATCATCATTCAGAGTCACTTGTAATCAAGGAAGTATAAATTTAAATCATGAGATAACAGGTTTTTTTTGCTTATTAAATTAGCAACAGTGGTTCAATGCCATATATATATTTTTAATTTATTTGACAGACAGAGATCACAAGTAGGCAGAGAGGCAGGCAGAGAGAGAGAGGGAAAGCAAACTCCCTGCTGAGCAGAGAGCCCGATGTGGGGCTCCATCTCAGGACTCTGGGATCATGACCTGAGCCGAAGGCAGAGGCTTTAACCCACTGAGCCACCCAGGTGCCCCTGCCATATTTTTAATGATAAAAATTAATATCAATAAATTGTGGTATATCCCTTTGGTGCTGTTAAAAATTGAAGGTTATGTAGGTTATGTTGTAGCCTCGAAGAGTATAACATTTGAGTGAAGAGATGAAGAGTTAAGGTTTTTAAACTAATGAGTACTAGCAGTTATGTGGTGGTGGTGTGTGTGGGGGGATAGAGTGTGGGAGAGAACAGGATCCCGCCAGTGAGAAAGATCTGGTTCAGTCTAGTTCTGCTGCTTGGCAACTCTGCTCTGAGCTTTATTCTTTTTTTTTTTTTTCAAAGATTTTATTTTATTTATTTGACAGACAAAGGTCACAGGTAGGCAGAGAGGCAGGCAGAGAGAGAGGAGGAAGCAGGCTCCCCACTGAGCAGAGAGCCTGATGCGGGGCTCGATCCCAGGGCCCCGAGACCACAACCTGAGCCGAGGGCAGAGGCCCAACCCACTGAGCCACCCAGGCGCCCCTGAGCTTTATTCTTTATTTGTTTTCTTTTGTTTGTGTTTTCTGAGAGAGAGAGAGAGCCTGAGTGAGGGGAGGGTCAGAGGGGGAGGGAGATAGAGAATCCCAAAGAGGCTCCATGCACAGTGTACAGAGCTCGAGGGAGGGCTCGATCCCACGACCCCAAGATCATGAGCCAACCTGACATCAAGAGTCTGATGCTCAACCCACTGAGCCACCCAGGCACCCCAGGCCTCTGTGAACTTTGACTGATACATACCTTTCTGGTTATAAATGTAGATACAGCATCTGGCACAGAATCTGGTACGTAATGTTTCATTCAGTAAGGTTTCGTTGAGTGAATGAGTGGTAGCTCCTAAGTGATACATATAAAAGGTTGTGTATGAAGAAAGATTGGAGGAAAATATAGCCAAGTGATTAGTGGTTCTGTTAGGGTAATGGGAATATGAATAAGCTTTACCCATTTTCTACAATTTGATGGTATTATATTTATAATCAAAACAAGTATATGAACTTAATCTCTTCCTTTTTGGGTGTCCTATGTTACTATTTGAAAAATGAATTTTAAGACTTGATTGCATTATTTTTCCTTTTATTCTACTCAGCCAAACACCTTGGAGTCAACCTCAAGTGTTTTCTTTTCCTCTGCATCTAACATCAAACCTATCAGGAAGTCTTGTCACCTCTGCCCTTTAGATTATATCCAGAATCCTATCATTTCTCACCATCTCCGACTGCTTCCATCGTCGTCCCTGCCACCATTTGACTCTCCCTAGAACACCGCAGTTTCTGGTCTCTCCTTCCACCCTTGTCCCTTTCTGGGATATTCTTAAGATTACAGCTGAGGTGACTATAAAAGCCAGGCCATGTCATGTCACTGCCTAGAACCCTCCAGAGGTTCATCCTCTCATTTAAAGTAAACAACAGAACCTTTAAAGCACTATACAGAGACCATGTAGAACCTGTCCTCTACCCCCAAATTCACACCTCTCTGACCTTATTTCCTACCATTCTGCCTCTGCTATTCTATTTGGCTAAAAACTCCTGCAGATATTCATAAAGCTGGCTGTTTCCCAGGTGCAAAAATCACCTTATTACTAAGGAGGTTTTCCAACACCAACCCCCCCAACTCCTTTCTCAAGACCCCACTCCCCCAGACTCTGTGTACCTTACCTGCTTTATTTTTTCCAGCACCATTTGACTGACAGTGTGTTTTTACCAAATATGTATAAGCTTATATATCTCCCCCAATAAAAACAGCTCTGTGGAGGTAGGCATTTTTGCCTGTTTTGTTCCTTGCTGTAATGTTAGCACTTAGAATAATGTCTAGCACCTAGTAGAGACTCAATAAATATTTATTGACTAAATGACTTTTTAGTTTCTTTCTTTTCTTTTCTTTCTTTTTTTTTTTTTGAAGATTTTTATTTGACCAAGAGACATAGCAAGAGAGGAAACACAAGCAAGGGGAGTAGGAGAAGGAGAAGCAGGCTTCCCACTGAATGCGGAGCCCGATGTAGGGCTCGGGCCTAGGACCCTGGGATCATAGGCTGAGCCAAAGGCAGATGCTTAACGACTGAGCCACCCTGGCGCCTCTTTGTAGTTGTTTCTCATAAGTAAATCTTAGTCTCAAAACTAGTTTGAAAGCCTTTTGAGAGACTGTCTCGTGTTGCTTTTGCCTGCCTCCTACCCCCAAGGTCAGCCGTCCTTAAGTGCACAGGCAGGCACACCTGTGAGCCACAACCTATCCATAGAGCTGGATTTCTTCTGCCTCTTGGGCTGGGACTCTGTCCAGACTACTTGAGACAGAAGATAGGCTGTGTTGGAAAGCATTCTGTGTCTTGATCCACGTGGTGGCCCCAGGACTATGGACGTTGTGTACTCAAGAGCAGTGCGCCTCTGGTACTGTGTTGTGTGTGTCTCATGCCTCGGGAAATGAATGTTCGTCCATTCCTAGCTTAGTGGTTGAAATTTTTGTTTTTGCATTCAAAGGTAAAGTAAACACTTTTTATTACTTTGTCTTTTGCAGAGCTAGTCGTAGCAGAATATCACAGAAAAATCAAGGAGGCTTTTGAAGTGTTTGACCACGAGGCAAATAATACAGTGGATGTGAGGTTTGGCAATGTTTTCTTTGTCCTAATTCTAAATTATTGATACAACTCCTACAGTAGAAGAGGCCTCCTGTCTTTTTTTCAGTCCTTGGATTTATTATGCTATCTATCTATCTATCTATCTATCTTTGATTTGAGAGAGTGGGGGGGGGGTTGTGGGGGGTAGTGGTGGAGGGAGAGAATCTTCAAGCAGACTCCCTGCTGAGTGCAGTGCCCAATGTGGGGCTCCATCCCTCAACCCATGAGATCATGACCTGAGCCGAAACCAAGAGTTGGACTCTGAACCAGTGGAGCCACCCAGGCACACCACTTATTATGCTATTTAAATGTTTTATTTTCCATGCTCTGTGAAAGGTCTTTACTAACTATTCTTCAGATCAATCCTGTTTCTTATTCTTTATAGTCTGGGAAAAGAATATCCACATTGCCCACTTCAACCGTAGGCTGTCAGTTCTCCGGGGGAGGTGGACTCTGCTGGAGCATTAGTGCTAGAGACTTAGCTGGTGCTCAGTAAATAATTGTTGACTGAATGAACAAAATTTGCTTTTAAAATAAATAAGTATAGGTCACCTGGGTGGAGCAGTCTGTTGAGCCTCGGACTCATAGTTTCAACTCAGGTTGTGATCTCAGGGTTGTGAGATCGAGCCCCGCACTGGGCTCGGCACTTAGAGATTTTCTCCTTCTCCCTCTGCCCCTCCTGCTTGTGCGCTGGCTCGCTTGCTCTCTCTCTCTCAAATAAATAAACAAATCTTTAAAAGATAAAATAACTAAGTATGTATTATCAAGCCGTGAATTTGAAAGATTAATAATGCTTAAATGATGATGTGCTCCCCAAGTAAAATAACAAAAAAGAACCCAAACAAAAGAACATAAGAGATGAGAGCCATGAATACTGGTGGGTCAGGAACAAAGGAGACGGAATGGTTTGAGACCAGAGAGAAAGAAAAAAAGGCAGAGGGAGACTATCCGGGGGAACAAAGAAGTTGTAGGGTCCACGCCGCGCACGTCACAGAGTGGCCGTGAAGCCGTTCTTCCAGGAGAGCGAGCGCAATGGTCCCATCTGGCAGGCCCGCGGCCACCGCACACAGCGGCCAGCCCGGCTGCGGGAAGGGACAGGGAAGGAACCGTCGGAGGCTTATGAGCAGGTGCCCTCACTTCTAGGACTAGGCAAGGCTCCAAGTGCTTTAACCCTAGCTACGCTGGAGGAGCAACCTGCAATGTTATTTTATTTGCGACAGGTTGTCACTACCCATGTTGTTTCGTTTCTTACATCTGGAGGCACCAGGTATGACTGCAGGAGAGGAGACGGAGAGGTGCAGTCCAGTTCATACTTTGTACTAGCGCCTTACGAAGCTGAGTTTTGTACCTCGCCTGTGTTTATGGGCCTTACAACAGGGGGTGAGGCTGAGAATTACCTTCTAGAACCGTCGCCGTAGTCAGCCCTGTATGAGCCTTGGCTCAGCTGTTGCCTCGGACAAGTGCGGGTCACGTGCTGGGCTCCAGGTGCTCGGGCCACAGCGCAGGCTGCCTGAGTGACCCCGGAGTGGGAGCATCCTAGGAGGAGAATGACCGGGTCGGGCGGCGGTGGCAGTGATAGGGTCTGGGATGGGGTGGGGAGCCTGCGACATGCATGACCGAATCCCCGGATGGCCTTTGCCGCAGACCCTCGCTGAAGCCACGGGGTTCTCCTGGGGGCAGGGAGAGAGGGATTGTGCGAAAGGTCAGGGAAGGCCGGAGGGAGAGCCGGAGAGCTGTCAGGAGAGAGGAGGGGAGCCGAGAAGGGAAGCCCGCGTTTACTCACGGCTTGCTGCCTGACAGAAGACCTGTCGCTGGGGGCAGGAGCTCACGTCCTTGACCTCATCTTCGTCTTTTTTATTTGTGTGCTAAGAGTTGGCATCTCCACTGTCTGGAAACATAGAAAAGGTTTGCTCAAGGTCCTATCAGGATTTTAAAATTCTAGGTCTCTGCCTGCTCCCTCCTCGCCCCCCTCCACCCCTCACCCTTCGCAGGAGGCCCCCCTGGACCTGTCTCCGGCCTTTGGGCCTCTTGACAGAAGCAGTGAAAAGAAAGCCTCCCAACTCTCTTAGAGCACTGATGCCAGGTCTTTTTTGGGTAAAAGGGCTAATTTAGGAAAAACAGACATGCTTATGGGATGCATCTTTCTCCCATTCAAAATTCAAAAATTTTCCTGCAGCCCCAAGGGAAAGTATGTATTTTTACAATGTAAATGGTCTACTTCATTATGTAAAGAAGGTTACAAAGACAATTGGCATTATTTTTCTCACTCAACAATTAATGCTATGCCTATTCGAATAGTAGCAAGAGGGATGGATGTAGCTTCCTAATCTTTATTCCTTCTGTTAATTTGCATAGCGCTCTGAAGTTCATCACGAGTGTTCTCATGTAGCTGGTGTCATTACCACGCGCCCTGTATGGGACAGAGAAGCCAAGTGACTTGCCCAAGAGGGCACAAGGGCTGAGCAGCAGAGGCGATGCTCAGAGTAGTTCCCTGTGTTTGGGCAGCTGCCCGGTGGCCCCAGACGAGACCCTGGGAACGCAGGGATGAATGAGATCTGGTCCTGCCTTCCCCGCTGGCCGCTCCTTATTGTAAAAACAGTTAATCCAGCTAGAATTTATTTTGGCACGTGATTAAAAGTGAAAGTCTAAATATAGACATTCCCCCCCCAAATTGCTAAAGTTTATTTTATTTACATCATGAATGTTACACCTACTTTATAATATGCTGCATTTTCTATAACTGAATCTAACTTGAGCTGTGTATTCTAATCTATGGCTTTACCTTTCAGTCTTCTATTAGGTCAGTCCAATCCTAATTGGTTTTTTTTTTTTAAGATTTTATTTATTTATTCGACAGACAGAGATCACAAGTAGGCAGAGAGGCAGGCAGAGAGAGAGGAGGAAGCAGGCTCCCTGCTGAGCAGAGAGCCTGATGCAGGGCTCGATCCCAGGACCCTGGGATCATGACCTGAGCCGAAGGCAGAGGCTTTAACCCACTGAGCCACCCAGGTGCCCCAATCCTAATTGTTATAAATTTAAAATGTGCTTTAATATCTGATAGAACTGGGCTCTTTATTACTTTTCTTTTTAAATATTTTTAGTTAATTGAAAACAATATAATTGAAAAAAAAAACCAAGACATGGAAATAACCCAGTTGTTCATCAACGGATGAATGGATTAAGAAGTTGTGATATACAGATGTAGATATGTGTATCTCTCTCACATAATGGAATGTTATTCAGTCGTACAAATGAGGAAATCCCTCTGTTTGTGACAACATGGTTCAGTCCTGAGGGATATGCTACGTGAAATAAATCAGAGAAAGACAAACACCCTGTGATTTCACGTATATGTGGAATCTAAACACGGACGATGAAGAAATCGAACTCGGAAGAAGAGGTCAGACTTGCGGTTACTCAGGTGCGGAGGGTGGGAAGGAGGTGCTTGGCGGAGGCATGCGAGGAGCCTGATTGAAAGGAACGACTAGGGATGTGCTGTGAAGCGGGAAGATACAGCTAATGGTGCCGCACGGGCTCCAGGGAAGCTGGGAGGAAAGTAAATCCTACGAGTTCTCAGCACGAGGAGACCTTTTCTTTCCCTTTTTAGTGTGTGTGTGTGTGTGTGTGTGTGTGTGTGTGTGTGTGTGTATAAGAAGATAGGTCGGTTGAGCCTCTTGTGGTCGTCATGTCCCAACAGCGATAAATCAGACCGTCATGCTGTATGGCCTTCAACTTACACAGCGATTGATACATGGCAATTTTTTTCTTAAGAAAACTGGGGAGAGAAAAAGAATCGAAGGCAGAATTCTACGTAAAGAGCGGTGTCGAGAAGCAGATGGAGTGAGAGTCCAGAGACAGATAATGGCTTGGTTTGGGCAGGAGAGAGCTGTTCCTGGAGAAGCTTCTAGCACATTTGGCTGTGTCTTCCCTCCCCTGTAGGTATGGCGCCATTTTTCTTGTGGGACAGACCCGGGCCCCCTTACAGATGAGTTTTGTGGCTGTTATTCTCCCTTTTCCCTACCTCTGCTTTGCATAAATTGAAAGATTGAATTTGAAACTGTACCACTATGTAAAACATCACAAAATGGGTCCCTGCGGCTGTCCTCCTGGCTCTGAGAGCCAACCCCTGGGTCCAGAATCAGACTGCCTGGGCTCCACTCCTGGTTCTCCGAGTAACTTACTTTTCTCCTTCACCTCATAGAAAGGACCCTTTCAGGGGTCTGGGAAGTCACAACTATTTTTACAATAAATCTAAGTCAGTATTTGCTATTTTCATTCTCGTTTTTTCACAAGTATACATTGGAGTATTTGAAAAGCTACATGATGTGTGATATCCCAACAGATTGGATGCCGAACCTGATAGGAGACTCCAGCTGTCTTCTGCTAAGCCAGACATTACAGAGATTTGCAAACATGTAAAATGGTGCCGTTCCTCTAATTAAATTTGTTCTTGTGGAAAATACAGTTATTTTTCATAAAATTATGTTATTAACATACACTTGTAATGAATTTATTTATTGTTATTTCTAAATGAAAAATTTAAATATTTAAAAAAGATTTCTAAGTGAATATTTTAAAATTTTTTGAGTTCTAATATGGCAAATACAGATAAATATAACTCACAGAAGGAAAGTTTTTCTGAGGATCTCTATCATGTTTAAGACTGCAAAAGGAGTTCTGAGACCCCAAAATATGAGAACCAGTGTTGTCAGTGGACATTTTTAAAGCTCTTAGAACAATATCAGCTCAGAAAAAACTAGCTTGGGATTTAAAACTTAGAACAAATTAGGTATTATTAGTAGTAGTAGTAGTACACTTTATATTCTTAAACAATTTAGAGTTGTTTTTCCTCTATTTTCTCTGGATTAGTAATTATACGTAACAAGCCTCTCATAAGAATTTTTTACATGGGGGCGCCTGGATGGCTCAGTGGGTTAAAGCCTCTGCCTTCTGCTCAGGTCATGATCCTGGGGTTATCAAGCCCC